CCTGGAAATAGGAAAAACTGCGAAAAATCTCCTTCAGCGAGCTCGACTGTCTGGAGGACGCCCTGAAGACGAATTATTGCATCTTCCTCTGTGCCGCTCTCTCTCTCTTCGCGAGCATCCCCTTCATCATCAGTCCCTTTCCACGGAGAGGCTCCTCGACCGTAGTGATCCGTGAAACAGCTTGCCTCGCAAAAATACCTCCCGCATTCGACGTCAGAGAAGTACCGAGCGCGGAGTGCCTCACAACTGCAGCCGAGCTGAGGGAGGGATCTGCGAGCTTTGGCCTAAGATTCAGAGGTGGTGGAACTCATTGCTCGGGCCTTTGAATCCTGGCCGGCTATGTCGCCTTCATCTGCGTTCGGGTACGAACGTATTTTACGGAACGCTTCCCCAGTGGGCGGCATTCTACGACATCTCAGAGACGCTCCCGAATAGCCTGTTGGGTATTTTTTCTACCATATCATGATATCATGTGCCGGCGACTTGGAAACTCGTGCGATCGCGACTCCCTAGAGCAGGGTTGGCCTGCCGGACACGTCTTCGCAAACCCTGTCTTCGGCATGAGTAAGACTCCAGAGAAGGTGGCCGAATCATGGCATTGATCGTAAATTCGGGAGAAGTTCTGGCGAACTCCTTCGCGGACGGCTCATTGTTAGAGGTTTCTGGAAGAAAGCTAGAAATGGTATGCACCTCGACCCCCCTGTGGAAATTCTACCCATTCAAGATATCGCTACTCCTTTCTCGATGTCCCGCGAGATCTCATCACTTTCCCGCTGAACCGGGAGGGGGCTTCTCTCGGCTTGAATTCCATGTGATAAGGCACAGTCCCGGGAACCGGTCCGATATTCTAGTTTTGGGAACGCCCAGGTGCCTCTGCTTTCTGGATTCGACCGTACGGACCTATACTCATCCTGATTCTGATTATACTGGATGGAGTGTTTCATATGATGATTGATACAATTCCACTCGTCTATTATCGCAAACGAATGAAATGAAAAGTACAATTTTTTAGCTGATACAATCCTGTATCTGAGAATTCCGAATGCAATCGACCTGATTCAGCTGCTATGTCGTGCACGATTCGGGACTTCACTCAAAGAATTCATCTGGAAAGAGCATTTGGATCAATGCGAACTCCACAATCCCATAGGTTTCCGCAGTGAAACTCGGGGAAACATGGGAACGGTCGGTGAGCGCTCATCCATTGATCCTGGACGTTGATAATAATTGCTCACTTCAAATCTATCAGGAGCGGCACCAAACTCTGAGGAGGCTTCGATCTGCGATACACAGACGAGACACACATTCTGTGATATGATACTTCGAATTTGAGCTGAAAGATAAGGTGCTCTCACCCGGACGGAAGTCATCAATTGGTGGGGCTGTCACCGAGAGTGAGCGCTTGGGAGCCGCGCGAAAAATCATAACATGGACGGAGCTTCCACCGGATGTCACCTTCCGGAGGAAGCCGTCACTGAGTGAGAGTCAGCGCTCCTTGAGGTCATGTCGAAATTAGGGGCGGTGACGGGCCCATTCCTAATTCGCTTGCGGAGTGGAGAGCAAGGCCTTCAACTGTACATTCATCTTCTTCGCATCGTTCAATGAGTCGGAAGCCTGGGAAGCTCTCTAGCTTCATCGTTCCCGCATTCTCACGAATATTTCTCGAATTGAGATTTCGGACACACCGACGTTATGGAGCCCAATCTAAGGACGTTTGTAGGTAATTTGCAATTGAGAGTAAGAGGCGGTTCTTATACTCTACTATTAAGCGGCTCAAGCTCTCTATGTACGACTGGGTTCAGCGTCGAAGAACGCCGAGGAATTGTCTGGACGAAAATTCAATCGATTCAATCGCCACTCGACGAAGCGCGTCAACTGGGCCCCGGCGTCAACTGGGCCTCGGCGACAACTGGGCCTCGGCGACAACTGGGCCCCGGCGACAACTGGGCCCCGGCGACAACTGGGCCCCAGCGACAAGTTGGCCCGCCGACAAGTGGGCCCCGGCGACAAGTGGGCCCTGGCGACAATTGCGTTTGTTCAAGAGCTTGAGAGCTCCCGAACGAAGTCAGCATCTCTAAAACCTCAGGCCAAATCAGGTCTATGTAGAATGAGTCGATGAGATGAATGGTAGGAAAAACACTATTAGCGAGCAATGAAGATCTTTATTCTCGTGATACGACGGTGAATGCGGTCATGAGTAATAATCGAGAATTACGGATTCATCAGGTAAATGTGAGCGATCCCACGCAGAGTTTCCGTCAAGGTACGAGTATCTAAGCCGTTGAGAACGCGCATGATTCGAGCATCATTCTGGACATATTTGTTTCGCTTTCCTGGAGCGGCGTGCCCAGCGATGCATCTTTCCAGCTCCGCATCTTTCGACCGTTGAGCATTCCTGATTCCATCGATGAACTTCAACAATCCAGGATGGTGAACCCCAAATTGCCCCTGAAGACTTCTGTGTGCTGCTTCGGCGTAATTATTAGTGCGAGAATCGCCCTGGAGTGTTCGCTGGTACACAGTCCACATAGAGACCGGGAAAGTGGCGTCTCGACGTCCCAAGGATCCGTCGCTCCTGACCTGGAGACGCCCAATATAATTATCTTCGAAGTAATCAAGTACCGGCTGGAGATCCGCGGGTAGCTCGTCGCGGAGGTCTGACAACACGCTTTCCATACGATCCGGTCTTATAAAAGCAAGAGCCGAGATCATTCTCGCTTTAAACGCGAAATCGGGCTCATTCCGATATTTCCTGCTCAATCCTTGCGCAGCAACTTGTTTTTTCATATTTTGGACTAGATGGAAGAAACATCCATGTATCTGTGCGACGGGGAAGAACGCTGTGAACGGCGTTCATTGAAGCTTTCTCGTAATCCATGGATATCGCTTGCGGATTGAAGTTTGGCCAACCGAGAGTCAGCATGTCTAGCATCTGGAAGTGAGGGAAAATATATATGTATGATACTTTGAATATACAGAAGCTGAGACAGGCTGGACTATCACATTGGTAACTTCTCTATGATTCCCGGATTAGAAGGAATGATTTACCTTGCAGTAGCTTACTTCGGACTTATCCGACATCGGTACGTAGCAGATTGGTGTCACAGTTTCCGGACGCTCCGCGAGAATGAGGAATATTTGGGAGAAAAGGTCAGGGACCAAGCTAAAAGTCCCATCCACGTAAATCTTCGAGACTTCCCCAATCCAAGAGACCGTGCTCGACCTTCCGAAGATCAGAATTCTCTCGGGATCGTCCGATCCAGAGTCACGGAGCAGGAATCGTTCGAAATTTCCCGGAGTACTTTCGTAAACGCGATATTCCTCTGGTATCACGATCGCTCCGAGGCTGGTGTAATGCGTCGATGGAATACCAAGCCGGTTCCGAGTTTTTGTATCATCCTCGAGAGAGTCCTATTGCTTCCCAATGACCCTTGTGCCGCCACTGATGATGAGATCCGTATTCTGTTAATTATTTGGAGGGGAGTCTCGACTGTATCCGCGGCGCGACGCTTCAATGCCGTTTTTTTCTGAAGAACTTCGACGGCAGCGGAGTCCGGCATATCGGTGTGAATTCCAATGACTGTGAGCTCTTCGGATTGCACATCTTTGTGGAGCCTGGCTGTACACTTTTTGGTCGAGTTATTCTTGAATTGGCAACGCCAGAATTCCGTAGACCCGTCTTCGTTCATTTTGGCGAAAACGTACAGATGACCATCGTGAGCGAGTTTGACTCTATTACGTTGCGAAACTACGTTCGATGCCATTTTCCGTGAGCTTCGCAAGCTTGTGTAAGAGGTCTGGATTTGTCGAACGAAGGAAATTGCGTGACTCCACTCATTCGACTCTAAATAAACCTTTCTTTATAAGTCCAGGTTTGTTGAGAGAAACGATTCTTCGAGATTCGGTTAATCGACCGTTGATATGACCGTTGAGCGTTGCCGACCGTTGCGTGGGATCGCTCACACTTACCAGATGAATCCGTAATTCTCGATTACTGCTCATGACCGCATTCACCGTCGTATCACGAGAATAAAGATCTTCATTGCTCGCGAATAGTGTTTTTCCTACCATTCATCTCATCGACTCATTCTACGTAGAACTGATCTGACCTGAGGTTTTGGAGATGCTGACTTCGTTCGGGAGCTCTCAAGCTCTTGAACGAACGCAATTGTCGCCAGGGCCCAGTTGTCGCCGGGGCCCAGTGGTCGCCGGGGCCCAGTTGTCGTCGGGGCCCAGTTGACGTGTACCGGCCACTCGAGGCTCGCATCGCTGCGAGGGGGTGGTCTATGAACTCCAGAGTCTGGACGATCCAAGATTCTTTCAGAGCGACGCATTGGTCGCACTCACTGACTAAAGAGAGAGAGAGAGAGAGAATCAAAGAAAGCTGAAGTCCGTAACAAGGATCAAACCGGACGCTCTCAGCGGTTGCGCTGAAATTCTCTCGATGAGCAGCTCTCCCACGGGGCATCAGTAGGTTTTGATTAGAGACAAATAGTGTCCCTTGATACCGCTTATCTGTGTTTTGCTTGAGCGGGAGCGCGGATACTTTGTTCGTCACTAACCGCTCCGGGGTGGAATCGAGAGTTGATGATAGTCAGCCTGATGACTTAGGTTGAGCGACTACGCGGTTTAAATACCTACTCCGCTACTCCATTAAGAGGAGAATCCATTTCGACATTGGTATAAGGCGATCCTCCACCTTCGAGACGAGGTTTTATGTCAGTTTGAGTCTCCTCAGCTTTCATCCCATCTTTCCAGGCTCATCGACAGTGGGGGCTGAGTTATGCGTAGGATACAAGATGCGTGGATATAATATCTGAGTGCCATGCAGCGCTGGCACACAACAGAGATCAGGTCTCGATCCGGACTGAGCCATTCTTGGAACCAGACAACGGCCATCGATGCATCCGAATGTGCCCCCTAATCGCAGCGAATGCGTGGGTAAAACCCAAGTCAAGACGGGAACCCCCAATCGGACTGTAGCAGCCTTCTCACGGCCGAGTTTGATCAGAATCACTTATTGCATTTGGAAGGTTTTCGGACGTTGCTTTCCACCACGCGACGCCGCGCATCGTCTCCGAGAATTACGGCCGTGAGCTCCTCAGCAATCATCTTCCTGAGAATGTGTAAGGAATAGAGGAAATTTCGCCGGCGCCTCGGTTTCCGACGGGAATGGAAGAATCAAATTCCGTGAGCGCGGGTAAACACGCCGTATCGCTTGCCGACGGCTCGGCGTCGTCCTCGCCGTTGGTCGCGGCTAACCCATTCCATCTCTACTTTGCGTTCACTTCGTCCTGAGCTGCCACAACCATCGGTCCCATACGATTTTCCGAAGCCGGGATCCCTATCTCGAAGAACTATCATTCTGAGATACCAAGCGTGGACGGAGCAGGTCGGTTCCCCTCCGATGTTCGGTCCAGGGTGAAGCGGACAACAGCTCGTCGGTTGTCAGTCAGTGTTGTAGGGACCGACGCACATCTACACACACACACTGTGTGCCCAGCGGCACAGAGCGGGCAAGGGAAGCAAAAAGCGAGTTTAACAGCAGACGAACGAAGCTTTTGACCAAGCTGATTGTTTGGACGCGGCGATGCGGCTTGGGTAGCCGAGTCGTCTCCCACACCACAAGTCGACACTCACACGGGACGACGACGACGCTCTCAACTCTACCCTCGGACGACATCTCTGAGATTCCGCTGAACCGAGTCCGTCCAAACTAATCCGGAAATCTCGATGCGCCCCAAGAAATTGTGATTTCCGAATTTCTCCGGCCGTTGAACAGAATTCCGAGGGTGAGTCGACGGAGAAACACCGCGGGCTTCTCGCTTGCCGGGGGTTCGGATCACTCGCATTGAGGGGCTGCCGCAGGTCGCCATGTCGGTTCGTCTACCCTCGCACCACGACCCTCACTCAAACTGAGCTCGGGGTTCCATTCTTCACGCGAGGAGTCGTCGCTTTCATAGCTTATCGGAGCCAGAAGCAGTTGCTTCGGAATCGAAAATGTCGCTGATGCCGTTTGCTAAGCAAGCCGCGTCGAAAGGACGAAAGAGTGTCTACGACTCTCTGGATCTCGAGGAAGTTGTAGTTGACATAGAGTACTATCCATCCGACAATGAAGAGGAGCAACAGAGAAACAGGCGCTCACCGAGCATCGAAGACTCCAAGTTTGGGTAAGTTCGACAAAAATCCGTTCCGAGCCGTTCGGGCGTCCTGCCGCGCTGGCAGACTCCGAGACGATGCTGTCAGTCTCTTGGTGTGATGCTTCATTTTCCGTTCATTGTCTCCGGCTATGGAGCCTCCATCGGGTCGGCGCTAGAGCGACGCGAGTGCTTACAAAATCCCACGCCATCTCGGAAAGCGTACATTCGGACCAAGCGTTCTGTCTCGCGAGCGAGTTTCCTGCTGTTAGTCTCTCTCGGACGACTGGTCGTGATCAAAATGCGCTATTATACTGTTAGGCTTAGGCAGAGGTCTGGATTAAGCTTGAACGAGGTGAAACCGCTTCCCCCGATGCCAGAATGGGGGACGCGTCTTAAGTGCGGCAATCGATACGCGCTCTCCGCCGACAGTTATGTGATGCCTGCAAATCCAAAACATGCGCATATTATAATTTAGAACCTTGATTAATGATATTCGCCCTACTCTCGAAAAAGACCCCGAGAATTTTCGGTCGCATGCTTCTGTTTCGACAACGGCGTCGTGTAACCTACGCATGTGCTATGCTCGGCTCTGAGATCGGTGGCGTTCATTCCCGTGGATGTTCTGGTTTTGTCCGCGAAAAAACATCCCTTAACTATTCTCACGAGGAAAACTCCGTTCTCCGAATGTGTTCCTCGTCACGCAATCCGGAATTGAGCGGTATCTTAATTCGGGATTCTGTTTTCAGAATATTGGCCGCCGCTACAACTTTGACCTCTCTCCGGGAATCGAGACCCGCTCGCCCGTCCTTCCACTATCCGTTGCAAGAACAAGAAGAGCCGCGACGTAAATTCAACATCGCTCATCTTGCTCTGCCTTCGAAGACCGATTCGAGAGGCTCACTGAACATTTTCGTGAAGCATGAGGTCGTCTCGGACCCCATCTCGAACTCGGCATTGTTGCCAATGAGGTTTCCTTACGATTCATCGGCTATCGATGCCGAAAACAGGGTCTCGCAAGCTCTGCAGACGATCGCCGAGGCGGCGGCTGCTTCAGCAGCGCAAGCCGCTGCGCCCGCCAAATACGTTATAACAAACCCCCCGATCCAGCTCGGGCAATCGTCTAGCACAGCCAACGACCACTCGTACCTAATGTCCAGTTTACCGGTATTCGGGTCGTACCGTGTCGATACTCCAACGCACGTTCCATCGCGATCGAAGTCCGTCTCCACTTCGGCTAGCGAATCGTCGTCACCGTGTGAAGTTTCCTCGACCGTTGCCGAAAACGGCCTCGGCCTGAAACTAGAAGAGAGCGACGTGATATTCAGAGAAGAGCCCGTTGAAATTTTTCCTGATGGAATGCCCTGCTCGTCGTCATCTGTCCCATCGAACAGAGAAGAGCAAGAGCCCAAATTCAAATGCTCAAAGTGCCCCAAAGTTTTCAAATGCCACCGTGGCCTCCAAAGTCACATGAAGGTCCACAAGAGACGCTTCCGTTACACCGTCAAACCGCAGGACATGCACATATTTGACGAAGATTCCGAAGACTCGGCGGATAAAGACTACCGGCAGTAAGTAGACTCCTTGCTCCCTACCGTTATGATTCGATGGGTGAGGCCAACTCGGAAGCCGCAATGAATACTGTTTGTCCCTGACGAAATTCTTCTTTTTTTCCGTAGACCGTCTTTGATGGGAGCCGCGTCAAGCCTTGTCACTCAAACGTGGACTACAGACGATGTTCCCTCGGGATCGAGAGCCATCAAAATCGAACCGCCGGGAGACGACGGGGACGCAACGAAGCCGTTCGCTTGTACGCAATGCTTCAAGCGCTTCTCCTCCATGAAGGGACTGAGGAGTCACGCCAACTCGCATAACAAGCGTGCCGGCGTTAGCAGAACGCAAAAGCAGCCTACGGCTGCCGCTGAAGAATCTCAAATCATTGAGGACAATTCTTTCGGAGAACAATTCACCATGGATCTCATGGAGCAAGGCGGCGACGATGAGGAAACCGGCGTCGACGATCTCGAGGGCGCCGGCATCGTGCCCGGTGTGAAGCCCGAGGGCCGGATGTTCCTCTGCACACTTTGCGGGAAGCGTTTCTGCCGCCGTAATCATCTCGTGTTCCACCTAAGAATCCATTCCGGCGAGCGTCCCTACCCGTGCGAGGTTTGCGCCGCCCGTTTCTCTCGTGCGGACAGCCTCAAAGTCCACATGCGGATCCATACCGGGGAAAGACCCTACGTATGCGATATCTGCGGCGCAGCCTTCGCTCAGATGATCAACGCTAACGTTCATCGACGATGTCATACCGGAGAAAAACCCTTCCGCTGCGAAGAGTGCGGAGCGCGATTCATTAAGAAAGACGGACTGACTGTCCACCGACGAATTCATACGGGAGAGAAGCCGTATAGCTGTGACCAGTGTGGGGCGAGATTCGCTTATCGCTCCTGCATACTGAGTCACTACAAGGTGCACAATGGCGATCTGCTGTACAGATGTGAGAAATGTAATGCAGGTTTTTCGTTGTTGTGCAATCTGACACGTCACAAAAGGGTTCATGCAGAAGAGGAAGCAGCCGAGTAGAAAGGCGGAGTTGTTATACAGAAGTGACGAGTTCGTAGTGCCCGACAACCCGACTTATCAGATACGCGGAAATTGATCATCATACCATACAACGCACGTCGAACGCACGCAATACATGACTTATCGATATGATGGTACCTCTGTTCTAACTCTAGTATGTCCGTATTTTTTTGTACGTAATAAAAATGGCTAGATGGCGAACACTCCCGAGTGTACTCATACCGATCGAGCAGCTTCGCTCAGGAGCCTCGAGGAGAACCTCATGGGCCCTAGGTTCAGCCCCGCAGACCCGTTCAGCCCAACCGGGGTTTCGGCTCGAGTTCGCCCGATCTCGCGAGGCACCTCCGGGGTCGGAGGATGGAGAACGATTCTGAGAACATGCTGATCACTGTCTCGTACACTGCGATCCCCTGCGAAGGGGGCAATCAGTATAGTCGCGTCAAGTCGATGACTCGTGCAATCGGTATGGAAACGAAGTCATACCGAGGAAAAACTGCCCTATATCGGGACGGCTCGTCTCTGATCCCTTGCCCGATCCCGCGTCGGAATACGAAAGAGACCGGAAGATGCAGCTGTCCTTCCCCCCCCCTTCCGTCCTGCTCGTGAGACGGTAGGGAAACCAGTTATCAGGCACAGTTCGGACCTCAGAGAATGCCAGAAATTATCAGCTTCCTGAAACCCATCCCAAGTCGGAGAGGGTCATCGTCCCATCATGAGTCGCAAAGAACAGTATCGAGATTGGACTTATCCTCTTTCAAAATGGAATGCCATCCCTCTCGATGCTGACAGAGTCATCACAGATTATCAATTTGTTTTCCGACACCTGAAGCTGATAGAAATCGAAAATCCGTCCCTTGGGCATTTTTGGAAAGCAGACGCGCTTCTCCGCTGCAGAGCCGTAGGGAATAGGAAAATCTAATATCTTTCAGCGAGGAAACAGTCTGTCGAACGTTACGGAAAGTTTCAGCCGATGATTTATGGTTAATAATTGCTGGTCTTCGCGTTATGCGAGGGGGGAAGAAACAGTTTCGGGTCAAAAGGTTCACTCGTTCGGCCTCCGAGCATTGAAAATTGGCTCAAAGGGATACGGTTTGCCGCCTATCTGCTCGAAGACAATCCGAGATGGAGAAATACTTTTTCACCGTGGCGCTCGGCTAGGGACTGCCAAGAGACCAAAGCCTATTGCTTCAGAGATAACTGCCGGACGAAAGAGCTAGGAATGAAATGTGAAACCACGGAGCACCGATAGGGGCACCTCGACACGCTCTGCCTGGCATAGGGTGGGTAGAACGTGTTGTCTTGAACCCACGCCAATCTGGGCACTTCCAGTAAAAAGACATTGTGTCCGAGTCTGTGACATACCTGACGGCGAGGTCATCAAGGAAAAAATATGCGTTATCCGACGTAGCGTGCCGAGGGAACAGATTTAGAGGGATCGTCGCGCCAAGAGCGGCTCCATGAGTTTTCATCATCGGGCTCCCTCCTGAAAGGGGACCCTATTCAAGCTCGCAAGCAGAAGAACGGTATGGGGAGCTGGAATAACGATTTATGATCGAAGTTCGAGCACGAGCTGGCGAAAGATACTGCTCACAATTTTCCGAAACGTACCTAACGGCGTTCGATTCTATGAAGCTCTCTACTCCCAGTGATGAGGGGATCTTGGATGAATTTATCGGGGGCAGATAGTTCATCGAGAGCAAGAGGATCAACATGAAGCTCCATAGTATGCCTCTGCTATCAACCGCGATGACAGAGGATTCTACGCTCGCGCTGCCGCTCGGAATTACCTGACAATATCGTTCGAGACCCTGTCAGGGTGGAAGTCCTGGATCTGATGCCCGTGGAACGGAGGCCAGAATCTAAGGATAGATCTCAAGTGTTCCATTGATATTTCAATCAGAGCACTCAGGGGAGGCGGCATACAGAAACTGGATGGTTTTATTCGCCCTTACCATGATAACATTCGAAAATTTCGAATAAATGAGGAATTTCCCTGTGATAGTGCAACGAAGGTCATTACCCTGAGACGGACTTCTCGCCTTGCAGAACTTCCAAGGCCAACTCGAAGACGGTCCTCCTCGAGGTGTTCGCAGAACTTCACTTCCCCGACTCACTCCTCGTCGGACGGCCCGGTCTCCTCGATGTGTTTTTCGAAATCCCTCTCGAAACCTCGCGCAAAGTCTTCCAAAGTCACCATCGATGTACTCAGGGCTCGACGGCGCATTCTCGCTCGATCCACGTAGTGTTTGATGAGTTTGCGAGAATTGCTGCGTCTCTGCTCGCTGAAGCGCACAGAGCACAGGACCGACATCGCCATAGTTTCCGAGAGAAGGTCGGCTTCCTTTACCTCGTAAGAAGCCATCCCGCTGGAGATTGATCGACCGATTCTGGAAGGGCAGTGAAGTCAGCTCCTTCCCGCACGATAAGATGAGGCACACATACCGTGGAATGATCATCAACCAGGATTCGCGCGAAGAGCTTACCGCTCATCCTTACTTCTCGAATGATGCTCAGACAGGCGATTGTGGACCGGTGTTTTTCAGTTTCTGCCGCTCTTGATGATCCGAACGATCGATAGCTTCACTGACTCTCCCGAGCATTGCTCCGCGCGGCCGGTGCCTCGCACTCGTCGAGGATCAGAGAGCGAGGAAATCGACACGACTTTATGCATCGGCGTCGGGAGCTCTTCGATGCGAAAGTGCGGCAAGCTGCTCGAGACGCGACGTGGACCGTTCCGTATCACATGACAAAACATCGACTCATCCGGAGTAAAAACACTCTTGAGATTGACAAACATACTCAGTCAACCCTTCACGGCGATCTCCACTGGGATGTGGATAGAGAAGCTCCATGATCAGGAGCCATAGAGATATTTCGGCGAGGTTCGAGGAATTCGGGGGGAGATGGGAATGGGATCTGGTATCGAGAGAAGGGGTCGTAGCCGAGCTCCGAATAAGTCTCAACATCAAGTGAACAATGTGATCAGCTCGAGAGCCGATTCTAGCGGTCCGAAGAACTTGAGCTGGACCTTCAAGAAACAGGTCAAGTCCTCATCGCCGACTTCAATGAGGAGAGAAGAGCCCGTCGGTTCGGTAAATTCCGAGGATTATGGGTCGTCAACTCCGCCAGTGGTAGGTTGTCCGGGCATAAAGAGACCTTCCTGGGTTGAACGGCGTTGAGGCAAAACTTGCCGTGAGCTTCATCACGATACACTAAGACACGTGATTTACGAGGGAATCAGCTGAATTCCATTCTTCTGAATTGGGGTCGAGCTCGGGCACTCCGAGGAGTCACTTCCTCCGTTTGAATCTTGCTGCTCCCCAAATCGCTGGGAATAATGTCGAGCAAGGTTTCACGTTTTATTGTGAGGAATGAAACAATTGAGCCCGTCGTTTCAAATGTCAATCCATGCTGAACATAATGGTAGAGAGTCAGCCTACAGAGCTACACGTTTTTGCTCTAAGAGTCGCGATTAGGCCTTCCAAAGATCCGCAGTTTTCCCCAAGATCCGCGGATTTGCGGATCCCGCATCCGCGGATAGGGGTGTCAACCAGAAGCGGAGATTGTATTCCAGACAATCTCATATACCAATGTATGTATATCGATGATCTACGTGAATATTTGGCAAATCGAGTCGATTGAAGCCGCGAGAATTTGAAAATCCTGCGTACCGAATCCGCGGATCTGGATCCGTTGGAAGGCCCAGTCGCGATTCCAAGGAATCGACAGGAACTTGACTCAAGGGTCCGAACTCCGACGTGAAACGTCCCTCGCTGCAATATACAATACAACCTGAACTGGTCGAAGCTAAGCCTATTTATCGAACTTCGACCCGGCATGAACCCTTGGAATCGGGTCTATTCTCCGCGACTGAGCTCGGAGCTAAACGGTGACGACACAAGAAAGTGTTCCAAGATGGGTTTCATCGATATCAGGGCAAAATCATCTGAGCTTTATTTAGAACGAGTAAGGCGGAGCGCGGGCGGGATATGGGGCTGACGACGATCAACTTTCTGGAAGGGTAAAATCCTGTCCTGTGGTTTTCGAGGCCGCTTTCAAGAATAGTTGGAGATGATTCCTCAAACTCTCGAACGACGCTTGATAGACCTCAATGAACTCATCACTGTCCGAAAAAAGATCCAGAAAATGTTCTGTGAGCTTCGCCTGCAGCGACGGATCCCGAAAAGACGACTCCGGATCCATTAGTGCGCACTCGAGAAATTCCCTGTACTTGATGGTTTCCTCGTGGTAATTCACAAGTGCAAGATGAGCTCGATCACTCTCGTCGATTCCGAATTGCGCATTCATCTTGATGTCCAAGAGTTCTTTGAATATCTCGTTTGCTTCCCTCCAATCTTCCATGAGGTCCTCCTCCTGCGGTGTCTTCCGGTAAGAGGGGTTCTCTCGTATCTTACGTGAGACATTTTCGACGTCTTTGTAGAGTCTCCCCAATAGAACCGTTAAGTCATCTTGAAATTTTTGGCAAGCTTCAAACGTTTTGCGGGCAAACAGTGCAGACTTCTCGTGCGTCTCGGCCTGGGCTCGCATTCGGGGCGCAAGCGAATCCAGGAAGCTTATGTGAGCTCTCGTGGAGAATTCAGAATACGCTCGAGTTTGACGGGGTCTCCATCTGGGCGGAGACCTTCCTTCCATAGGTCGGCTAAGCTAGGCCCCGCTCGACTCCAGGAACGGGTTCAAGATCAAAAAAGCAAGAGCGCGATTACTTCAGGACCCCGGAAGCGAGCTCGTGATACACGAGATGCACGATCACGGTTTGAGGGGGACTTGAGCTCGCGCCACCTCAGGGACTCTGATGACGCAGCTAAGAGTAGGTTAGCACTTTGCGAATAGAGTTGAGAAATTCGTTTCTGTTTCTTGCGTGGTGTTGCTTAAATACAGATCCTGCAGAGAGGGTGTATGTAATCCTCCGAGAGTAAGCGTGATCACCTGAGAGGGGTGAACCCCGCTCTCTCGGCGCACCCGTCGAAGAACCCCCCTTA